CTTGAATGCTCTCGGCCTTGATGGGGGCCGAGGTGTTGATACCCTTGATGATGGCCTGAGTCGGCATCTGTATGTCCGCCAGGTCGAACTTCTCAAGGTGGCCGTCGATCGCTCGATCTCCACCGCATGGTGCCAAGGCTGCCGTGTCTAGGACAATGTACCCAGGAAGTGCCACTTGGCCTGCTGCCATCGTGTCTATCATCTCGTCGTTGACCTGAGTGATCGGGTTGATCGCCTCGTCGATGTTTTTGTGCGTCGGCTCGATCATGTAGACCTCGGCGGGCCTGGTGACTCCTGTCGCCAGCATAGCCGCTGCCAGGCCGGTGCGTGCCAGAAAACCTCCAGCGCGTCCGCCACCTTTGCCTCGTCCTCGAGCTTTGCCTCCGGTGGTGGACTTCTTGGCCTTGCTGCGCTCCGGATCTCCAGCCCAGTGCCCAGCCTCGCCGCACGCTCCACATTTGCTTACTTTCTGGAAGGCCCCCATCTTGTCCTGGAGATCCTTCGATCCGAAGCTGATCTCCCCATCGAAGTCGATGTATGTTTTGTCCTGCCGAAATCCACGATTCGTCTTGCCGTCCTTCATGAATTGGCGCTGCCGAGTGTAGTTTGAGCCCGTTGATCCTGAGCTGCCCTCACCGCGTCCGCGGACTTTGGCCGCGACAGCCCCACCAAGTTGTTGAGCCTCAAACGCGAACACCTGCACCTCCTCTTCGCTGAGGTCGTTGACGTCCACGATGGCCATGGCCTGCTCGAACTCCTCCACTTCGGCGGACAAAGCCTCCATCTCTTCTCCGCCCTCGTCTCCGCCACTGTTTTCTCCATCTTCCGGTTCGTCCTCGTTCCCGTCGTCCTCGTCGAAATCCGCTGTAAAGGCTGAGCCCCGCCTGAACTTGCGCCCTCCATGCTGTCGCCCACCCGGCTGTCGCCGCTGAGCGTCGACGCCGTCGAGTTGCATCTCCAGTACCTCGCATATTGCATCCCAATCATACTCATCATGTGCCTGGCCCAGGAATGTTTTGTGCTGCGCTTCCGTGATGCCACGCATGTCTAGCAAGAAAAACGGTCGCAAGTCCTCCGAAACCTGCGTGCTGCCGCCTGTGAGGTCCTTCAGCTTCTCGTATGAGTCTCTCCTTCGCTGGATAAAGTCCTTTATCGGTTCGTTGGGCCGCCGATGACCGCGCTTGAAATAATCCAGGAACGCCTTGTGGTCCTGTAGCGGGGCCACCTTCTCGCAGTGTGCCCGTGCGCACTTGATCAAAACGTCGAGTGCCTCCTCGATCGCATTTTCCCTCTCGTCTGCCGCGTTGCCCTTCTTGAACAACCTCGTGAAAGCCGAAGCTGACATCTCCTCGTCCTTGTGGCTCAGCGTCCCCGCTCTGTCTGCGAGGCCGTTCTTGACCTTTGCAATGAAACTATTATTCTTCTCTGCCGTCTCTGCGCCCAAGAAACCAAGCCGTACTCTTTCATCCCATTTTTCTGCTGAAGCTGCGTCGCCATCATAACAGGGTATGCCGTCTTTATCTAGCCAAACATGTGCACTCTTCCGTCTATCTTGTACCTGCGCCATGGTGTCGAAATCTGTTGGGTCTTTGAACTCTGTGATGTCCTTGAACCCTCTGAGGTCTATGACCTCTGTGAGGTATGTGAACTCTGTGAGGTCTTTGAACTCTGTGAAGAACTCTGTGAGGTCTTTGAACTCTGTGAGGTCGGGTTCTGTGAGGTCTGGAAACTCTGTGAGGTCTGACTCTATGAGGTCTGGGAGCTCTGCGAGGTCTGACTCTGTGAGGTCTTTGAACTCTGAAAGGTTGGTGACCGAGAACGGGCTCTCGAAGCTAAGTGGTTGCCCGAACTTCGCAGAACAGGTCTTGATGATATGCAATAGCGCTACGAAACTGTACCAATGGAACAGCATAGGCCGTCTCGAAACGCACAGCTCCGCACTACCACTGTCGATGATAATGAGTATGCGCCTCTTTTCCACGAGCTGTAAAATCCGCTCGGTCGATCAATATGAACTGGTGCCAGTCGCACCACACACACACAGCTCATGAAACCAGGGACACCCCAGCCAAAGACTGGAACACATCTGATAACTTGCTATCGCTGTCTGGCTCAAAAAGGGGATCCCCTGATATCGTTTGAGAAGCAAGCGGCCATGGAAACACAACATGGCATATTATGCAACATAAAGCTCCCCAAGCCCTTGAAAAGGGCGTTCAACTCACTAGCTGCTTATCTACTGCGTTTCGGGCTGTCCCTGAAACTCTCATCTTCACACAAGAGGGCCCCAAGAAAGCCCAATACGGCCCCGAAGACGCAAAAGATGACCTCCAATACGGCCAAGATGGCCTCCAAAATGCTTCCAAGACGGCCAAGAAGGCCTCCAAGACAACGAAGATGGCCCCAAGATGCACCCAAGACGGCCTCCATATGACCTCACGATGGCCTTAGACTGCCCAAAAGGCCCGCAAGTGGCCTCCAAGACGGCCCTAAAGTCCTCCAAGACGTCCTCCAGGAGGCCCGAAAGCTCGGAAATCACCTGGTCGGAAGGCTCGCCCGACTCCGTGTTCCCCGAAGGCGTTCGAAACCCACTCGAAGAACGCGTGGCCCGATAGCTTGGCCAAGCTCAAGCCCAACTTTCGGACACGCACGCGCTTCCAAAAAGGCAGGGGGCGGCGGTGATTCGCCGTAGGCGTCTTCGATAGCGCCAACATCTCAGCATGCGCTGGTGATTCCTATCCGCCCCCGCATGGTGTTCCCAGATGCGCCAAGGCAGCGCCGAGACGCACCGACGCGACTCGGATAGATCCCATTATGGTAGAGAAGGCGCCGGCGGCAAGGGACGACGCCCTTACGGAAATACACATATATATACACACTGATATACACGACATCTATACATAAGTACACATACATATACATCTGCATATACATGTACATCTAACCACCCGTACACATATAATGCATACACACATGCAGACATACATACATACATACATACATACACACTTACATGCATACATACATACATACAAACACAATTACATACACACATACATGCATACGTACTCATATACCTACATACATACATACATACATACATACACACATACATACATACACATATACAAATACAAACATACATAACCGCATGCCGATGATAATAAAGGGACCCCCCCCCTTCAGTGTTCAGAGTTGATTATCGTCGCCCTATACAATATTCTAATTGGGCGGCGAGCGCTGAGGCCGAACTTCATTATCACATCGAAACGCTATGTTGAGATAGCAACATCAAGCGATGTTGATATAGCAACATCAAGCGAAGCGATCACACTTTTTCAGGATGTGTCAAGCGAAACCAATAATTTTGGGAGGCAGACTCAAACGAAACGAGCAATGTTCTTATCATTATTATAGTTTCCTCTTCTTCTTTTATATTTCTATCTGTCCTCACGCTCGCCTGAACTTTTTTATCCCTGGGGTTGATTACCCATGGAAAATGAAGCACATGAGCTACCCTACACGAGCACTTAAAAAATCAATGTTCATAAAGCGCTTGTAAATTAAAACTGATAGATTTGGAACTTTGGATGTTTCCTTTATTCGTCCTCTTCTTAGTATCCTCTTCTTCTTTCTTATTATTATTATACTGTATTCTTCTTCTTCTTCTTTTATATTTCTCTCTGTCCCCACGCTCGCCTGAACTTTTTTTTTATCTCTGGGGTTGATTATCCATGGAAATTGAGGCACATGAGCTACCCTACACGAGCACTTACAAAAAACAATGTTCATGAGAGATAAGCCATTGTTGAGGATATTTCTATGAAAACTAAACGCCAAAGATGTCTCAAAACGTGCTCTGCTAGGTCTCCTCTTGATCATCTCTTACTTCGAGATTATGCTGAGGTCTGCTGGGCTACTTTTATTATCTCTCCCTGAACCCCGAACTTATTATCCCCTAGTGTTTATTCTCACGGGCATGAGGTTACATACACACATACATGCATACACTCATACATACGTACGTACATGCATACACACATACATACATACATACATACATACATACATACATACATACGTACGTACGTACATACATACATACATACATACACTTTACATACATGCATGCATACATATATACATTCCTTCGTTCGTACATACATATACACCTGCATGTATGCATGCATGCATGCATGCATGCGTGCAAGCATGCATACGAACATACGTGCGCATACACACATATAAATGCATGCGTACATACATACATACACCCATACATACACACAACCAATCATGCATGCATGCATGCATACATACATACGTGCATGCATTCATGCACACAAACATACACGCATGTATACATACATACATACATACATGCATGCATGCATACATACATATATACATACACACATACATACAAACAAACACACACACACACATACATACACACATACATACATACATACATGCACGCATGCATGCATACATACATACATACGTCTATGTACATACATGTATACATATATGTACATGCATACAGACATACATACATTCAACATAAGTATACACGTAGGAGATCAGGAAGGAGGGGGAGGAGGACGAGGGGTTCGAGCAGGAGCAAGGAGGAGGATCAGGAGGGTGTGGAAAAGGAGGGCCCCTCCCCCACATGCTGCTCCTGCGACTCCGCGTTCTCGTCACCCTCTTCCGCCTCCACCTCCTCCCCGCCTCCTCCCCCTCCTCTTCCTCCTTCTCCTCTCCTCCTCCTCCTCCTCCTCCTCGTCTTCGTCTTCCTCTTCCTCTTCCTCCTCCTCCTCCTCCTCCTCCGTGAACTGCTCGAGGCCTCGAGGAGCAGGAGGAGTCAAAAAGAGGAGTAGGAGGAGGAGGAGCACCAGAAGGAAAGGGGCGGGCAGCAGCAAGAGCTCTTCGCTCCGTCGCCGTCCGAGGTCCGAGCCGCTCGCCCGGGGAGCAGGGGCGACGGGGCGCATGCCGCTGGC